GGGTATTACTTGTTTAGCTTTATATTATTTATATTTAATCTCATCAATTATAAAAAATCAGCAGGGACAAATGGAGGACTTTTTTTTTTTTTTTTTGGTTTTTCTCCGGTACCGGGAACCGAACTCACGACCTTACACATGCCAGGCAGGTGCTTTTTGCCGCTGAGCTAAATCCCCAGCCGCCCAAGAAATCTTTTTATATTTTGAAAACCTGATGAAATTTTTTGGTTTTTCTCCGGTACCAGGAACCGAACTCACGACCTTACACATGCCAGGCAGGCGCTTTTTGCCGCTGAGCTAAATCCCCAGCCGCCCAAGAAATCTTTTTATATTTTGAAAACCTGATGAAATTTAAGGTACTTTAAGTCAAATACAAGTACCCTAGAATAAGTTTAAATTATTCTTTTACAAAGCACAATTAACTACCAGAGAATGTAATTTGTCCTTCATATTGTAGGGGACGGTGACTCTTAGCATATCATTTTAAGATAGAATAATTCTAGTCTTAATGCAGGCCTCAAAATGTGTCTTGAGAAACATCCCGGAGGGGTTGTAAAGAGTTAACTTTGCAGTCCTGACTAGCTCTGGAATGCTTCTCCAAAGACAAAGAATGCCAGGGCCTAGATAACTACCTATGACCTTGCCTGGGTTGTTTCATCCTTTCCCTAGCTCTAGATAAACATTGTAACCATAAAGGAAATGTATGGTTACCTAAAGGGGGACATATAGAACAGAGTACAGAAAGTATATATCATTGTGGTTGGGCTCATGACCAGAGCCTGACCAGGTCACGTGGCACAAGGAAAACAAACCTGTGGCCATGGCTATAACATACCAATCTGTTACCATGGGAACCAAAAATGTATATAAGACAGGAACAAAAGCAGGCCCATGCCAAGGTCTCTGACTTGCAAGTCAGGATGAGAGGTGACCGGTCTAAATTAAAACTATGTCCTCATAGAGTTCTTTGGTCTGTTGTGGAATTCAGCCTGAATTTTGCTGTAACAATATTTTATAATACATTTTACAGTAGTATTTATAAGGTGTAGTAAAGTTAATCCCATCATTATTTTTAAGGCAAAGATAATAGAAATAGATCCATAGTACAAGGAAAAAGAGCAGAAGACATGAATAAGTACCATCGTTTACATGTGAAAGAAAAATAAATGATCCATTTATTAAGGGAATATAAATCAAAACATCGATTAAACATTTGTTTATTTCTTGGATTGGCAAAGATGCAAGACACTCTTGTAAGCACTTGTATTTTGCTTTGGGGGAATAGTTTGGCAATATCTATGAACAGATGTGTACTTTACCTTTTGACTCATTAGTTACACTTACGAGGACTTTATCCAACAGAAGTATACAAAAGTATTAAGACATATACTCAGTATAACATTAAGCCATTGGAACTTACCCAAATGTCTATCACTGGGTAATCGGTTAAGAAAATTACAGCACAGTCATACATGCAACTATTAACATAGCTATAAAATAAATGAGATTGATTTTCTTTGTAATGATATGTAAGGACACTCAAGGTGTGTCAAATGAGAAAAGATGTGCTGGCAGGATGCTGTCTTAACTATAACCTCTGAAAATGTTTGAAGCCCCACTTCTCTTTTATTAGAAGTTAAAAGCAATCATGTGTTGAGGACTGTACTTTTTTCAAACATGGAAAAATGGTGCTGGATGAATGAAAGAGTATACATTGTGTTGCACCAGATGGTAAAACTAGAGTAGAATTTACTAAAATAAAGTTTCCGCACATAGAGTAAAGCACTTGTCTGCTCTTGGCCATTTTAGACACCGACCATCTGGAGCAACCATATATACCTCTTGCCACTCACTGCTAACTAAACATTAAAAAAAAAATTACTAGATTTTCTGAGTAATTCACAGATGCTCCTGAAATAAGACTCACACTGTGAGCCCTATTACCTAAAAGTGATATCAATTTAGTTTTTTAATTCCTTGCTCAAAAAAGATAACTAGTGAGACAGGATACTGTCTGTACCTTTTGGGCTTTAATCCAAAGAATTGGGATGCAGAGTTGAGTATATGAACTTAACATGTTTTGCCATAGAAGCCAATTAGAGGCAGTAAAAACGACCATTGTGTTCTAGAATACGAAGGACAAAGGACACTACTTTAAGCAAAATAATAAGTGAAGGAAACTCTTTTACAAAACAAACAAAAATGAATAGAGCAATAACTTGAAATTACACTTGCCTATATTTACTTTGCATTAAATAAAAATTATTTTTAACCGCAGTATGTCCTAGAATCAGGTGACAAGGCATTTAGTCTTGGATTATCCAGTACCATTAGTTCCCTTAAGCACGTCTCATTTCAATAAAACTTAAACCTACAGATAATTAGTAGTTTAACAATGTTCATTATAGTTTCTCAGTTGATTTTACTTGTGAGGCATGAGCCTAATATGGTGACTGTGTAGGAAATTTTAGGGTCATGGGGTTTGTCTTCCTAGAGAGGTAGGTGGTTTTGAGGACAGGTATAACTTGATTCGTCTCTGCTGTGTTTGTCATCCTACAACTTCCCACTACATCTGGTCCTCTTTGTAGGGGATTGAGACCAAAGTTACTCTTGGTGCAGAGGAAAGTTGAGGATGCATACATACTAGGGAGGAGTTGATGGAGACACTGATGAAAAACAGGAAAAAGGACAACGTACACTGTATTGGGAGGGAGAATGGGAATGGACTCGAAAGCACTGATCTTGGCCAGAAGAGCCTCCTTTGTCATCAGGCGATAATGGAGTAAAGCTATAGATTTTTTCTTCTTCATGGGTTACATGAGCAGAATTGAGGACAGTATAATTGACCGTGAGATATGACATCATCTAGAAGAGCACTTGGGGACTGAGAAGGACAAAGGTAGATAACAAGGATAGTGTGGAGCACTGGCAGTAGACTTAGTAGGCAGCAAGTTAGTGATGGGAAAAAGGATTGCCCAGGACTGAAGGCCTGTTTCAGGTTGAAAATGACACTTTTGTAATCTTTATTAAAAAAAAAAATAGGCCTCTGAAGAGTCTGCACTAAGGGCAACTTGTGGCTTCCATTTGTGTAATGTGATCAGATTTAAGTTTTTCTCTCACTACATTCTGGCCCTTATTGCCACTTCATTTAAATCACTAGCATTTTAATATGTGAAGAAACTCAGAGTTTGCTGAGTAGTCTGTGTGGCTGTTTCCAAAGGTACCTATGGGAAGAGCAAGATAGTAGGCCTGGTCCTGCACAGGATCCTTCGTGTACTGTGACAGACTTTATTAACAGAATTCTTCTGTATCTCAAAAGATGTACTGGTAGGGGCTGGGGATTTAGCTCAGCGGCAAAGCGCCTGCCTGGCAAGCGCAAGGTCGTGAGTTCGGTTCCCGGTACCGGAGAAAAACCAAAAAAAAT